AGGCGGAAGGATCGCCGGAGCCCAGCAGGCGAGGCTGCGGTGGCCGGGAGCAGCCACTGTGCTCCAGTCTGGGCAACAGAGTGAGACTCCAACTCAAAAAAACAAAAACAAAAACAAATCTGATAAAAATGATAATTTAAGTAGAATCATAATCGTATTTCACAAACCACAGATACCCACATAACAGTGTCTCCAATATGATGTAACCAACATGTGCTCAGATTAGAGTCTGAGAAACTTGCTTAATCTAAATCAATATGCCATATCTTAACAAGATTGTGCTCTTTATTTATTTTATTTTTTTTTAGTTGGAGTCTCACTCTGTCACCCAGACTGGAGTGCAGTGGCCGCGCACAGCCACTGCAGCCTCAACCTGTTGGGCTCCAGCGATCCTTCTGCCTCAGCCTTCCAAGTAGCTGGAACTACAGGCGCGCACTATCACGCCCAGCTAATTTTTGATTTATTGTAGAGATGAGCTCTCGTCAAGTTGCCCAGGTGGGTCTCGAACACGCGGGCTCAGACAAGCCACTCACCTTGGCCTCTCAAAGTGCTGGGATTACAGGCTGAGCCACTGAGCCCGGCCAACATTGTGCTCTTTAATGCGCTATACTTAAATTTTGAGCTTATACACAAAAAATGTAAGCGACAAATGAAGAAATTTGAATATTGACTTCATATTGATCATTTTAAAATTATTATTAATTATTCTTTTACACCAGGTAGAGTGGCTCATACCTGTAATCCCACTACTTTGGGAGGACTGCTTGAGCCCAGGAGTTTGAGCCTAGCCTGGGTAACATAATGAGACCTCGTCTCTACATAAATAAATCAGCCAGGTATGGTGGCACGTGCCTGTAGTCCCAGCTACTCGGGAGGCTGAGGCAGAAGGATTGCCTGGGCCCAGGAGGTTGAGACTGTGGAGAGCTTTGATTGTGCCACTACACTCCGGCCTGGGCAAGAGAGTGAGAGCCTGACTCAAAAACAAAAGGATAAACAAAATAAAATATTAAAATATAGAGCCCAAATATACAGATATACTTTAATGACATACATTTACCAGTATCATTTTGCACAAAGAGCTTAATGAATGTACCACTGATATTTTGTAAGAAAATGATACCTGAAAATGAGTAACTGATTATGATTTATCTATACTACAAAGGCCTCAAGACTTCAGCAGCTCCTATGTTTCTATGTGCAAAGACACTTCAAACACTTACACATGGAACAGAATGTATAAGGAGACTATACCTGACAAGCTGCCCGGAGAAAGCTACATAACCGTGGAGTATCAATCTTTGCTATAGCTGTGGCATCCGAGATATCTTTTTTTTCACTACCTAAAAAAAAAAAAAAAAAAATAAGGTTATATAAAATCTACAAAGTTGACTCTAAAATAGTCATGCATAACACATATTAGAGTTTAAAGAGATATTACAAATGAACATTAAGAGTCCTAGAAGGGAAAGTCAGAAAACTTGACATTTAACCCTTTAGATTTATGAGTGATTTATACAAAAAACAATTGCATATTGTTTTATAGAAAGTCTGTACACAAAATTCTATTTAAATGTATTCAAATAGTCTATAAATCTGTTCCATCAATATAGACTGAAGCCGGGCTTGGTGGCTCAGTCTGTAATCCTACGCCTTTGGGAGCCTGAGGTGAGTGGATTGTCTGAGCCCACAGGTTCGAGACTCGCCTGGGCAGCAAGACCTCATCACTACAATAACTCAAAAAAATCAGCCAGGCGTGGTAGTGCATGCCTGTAATTCCAGCTTCTCGGAAGGCTGAGGCAGAAGGATCGCCGGAGCCCAGCAGGCGAGGCTGCGGTGGCCGGGAGTCGCCACTGCGCGCTCCAGTCTGGGCAACCGAGTGAGACTCCAACTCAAAAAAAAAAAAAAAAAAAAAAAATATATATATATATATATATATATATATATATATAGAGACTGAAAGTTCCAAAATATGTGGTATCTGCTAGGTACTCTGGAACTATTTACATATTAAATACTTTAGTGCTTGACTGTTTTTCTTAGGTAATTATCTCTGTATGGCAGGAATATATTTTACTCTCTTTCCTCAGACTACAGGAACATGCCACCATGCCCAGCTAATTTTTTATAGAGACACGGTCTTGCTATGTTGCCCAGGCTGGTGTTGAACTCCTGGGTTCAAGCAATCTTCTCACCTCAGCCTCCCAAGTAGCTGGGATTACAGGCATGAGCCACTGTGCCTGGTCTACAATTACTTTCTTAACATGAGGCTTACCCGAGGAAAGAAAATAATATATATTCCTGTCATACAGAGTTAATTATTTAAGAAAAAGAATCATTCAAGTATTTAATATATAAATAGTTCCAGAGTACCTAGCAGGTACCACTTATTCTGGGAACCTTCAGTCTATATTAATGGAACATTTGCAAATTACACATAAAATACAAAAATTCTATATTCATGAGAACAGACCATCCCCAAGGTAAGATCAAAGTATGCTCCAAAAATCTAGTATTACAGTGGTTTTTTGGAATGTGAAATCTTTACCACTATTTGGGAATAAAACATGTTATAAATCCTGCTAATAGCCCAGATCAAACCTCAAGAGCAAGCTGAATTTCCCTTGTAGTTCAGCTGCTTTGCTGTGGGTGGTTAGTGTTCCTTTAAAAGAATATTGGGGGCCGGGCTCGGTGGCTCAGCCTGTAATCCCAGCACTTTGGGAGGCTGAGGTGAGAAAGATTGCCTGAGCCCACGGGTTCGAGACCCGCCTGGGCAACTTGGTGAGACCTCATCTTTACAATAAATCAAAAATTAGCCGGGCATGATAGCACGCGCCTGTAGTTCCAGCTACTTGGAAGGCTGAGGTGGAAGGATCGCTGGAGCCCAGCAGGTCGAGGCTGCGGTGGCCGGGAGCGGCCACTGCACTCCAGTCTGGGTGACAGAGTGAGACTTCAACTCAAAAAAAAAAAAAAAAAAGAATATTGGGTATTTCCACAGTCATACACTAACAACCATATCCATAATAAAGACACAATGAGAACAACAAGAAAAGCAATCAGTATAAATAAAACAAAAAAGAATATAAAGACAGTCAACGTTCAACACTCAAGAAAAAGATGCTACCTCCAGATACAGCAGTGCCTTCTCCTGGATGCTGGGTCCATGCTTCCCTGGTCTCTATTTCTTCAGTTTGAATGTCTCTTTCAACACTATCTTCATTATACTGAACATATGCCTTAAAAATAAAAATACGCTCACAAACACATTTGGTCTCCATGGAACCAACCATGTTGCCCACTGAAAGAGGACTGGATAAAAAAAAAAAAAAAATTGGTACATATACAGAAAGGAATCTTATGCAGCAATAAAGAAGGACAAAATTATGAACTTTGCAGCAACTTGGATGGACTTCGAGTCTAAAATACTGAGTGATCTATTGCAGAAACAAAAAACTGAGTGTCATGTTTTCACTCATAAGCGGACCTTGAACAATCATCATAATACTATAAGAAAGGGATTGGCAGTAGTGGGAAACTACCAGGGGAAGGGGTGGGATGGGATTGGCAGTAGGGGGAAACTGCTGGGGTGGGGGGGTGGCACACCTCATCAACAAGGGTACCTGCATAATGAACATTTTTATACCTAACCCTGAATTGTATCCAACATCTTTAAAATTAAAAATTAAAAAACAAAAGTTTGGTCTCAACTTCAGAGAAGTTTGTCATTACTGAAAATTTTTTAAAATTAAATTTCAATAGTTAATAACGATAGTCTTCTTGCTTGTGTCAAAAATATCATGGCATAAAGAACAATCATGCAAGCACTGTTTGTGTCTCAAGTACTCGTCTCTATATAAATCTTATTTTTAAAAGTGTTTTCAAAAAGTCACATAAAACAATTTCCCTTTGGTTTGAAAATACTACCACCTAGCCTACTCACATCCTATTCTCTTAGAACATAATACTGGCCGTCCAAAAACAAATATGATTTTATTTCAAAGGGTACATGCTTCAATAAAGACAGTTTTGTTACTAATAGTTTTGGATGAGGAAAATAAGCAAAGAAGTTAGATAATCTACTCAAGGTCAGAGTGAATCAGCTGCAAAACCAGGATTAAAACTGTCAGTTTCTTCAGTTTCCTGTGACCTTCCTCCTATTAAAAGAATATTATTGACTGGGCTCGATGGCTCAGCCTGTAATGCCAGCACTTTGGGAAGCCAAAGTGAGTGGATTGTGTGAGCCTGCAGGTTCGAGACTAGCCAGGGCAAATTGGTGAGACCTTGTCTCTACAATAAATAAAAAATTAGCCAGGTGTGGTAGTGTACACCTGTAATTCCGGCTACTTGGAAGGCTGAAGTGGAAGGATCGCCAGAGCCCAGTGGGTCGACGCTGTGGTGGTCGTGAGTGTGCTACTGCACTCCAGCTTGGGCGATGGAGTGAGACTCCAACACAAGAAAAAAAAAGAGGATTATTTAATGGATGCACCAAGTAGACAATGTTAAGATGGATGGTACTACTATCAGGAACATAAGATGTGATGTCTGACTTCAACAACTTTGTAACCTTGCTGTGAAGTTAGAATACCACATAATAAATTAATCACTGTAAGTATATAGGGAAGTACAAAATCATGTGGAGCGAACTGCAGCAGCTGTGGAATGAGAGAAATCATTCAGTGTAAGTCGTTAAGGAGGAATTGAAGAACAGACAGGTAGAGGAGACAAAAGGGGAGCAATGGCATGCACGAGGGCACCAAGCAGTCCAGCACATTCAGAAACAGTGAGTGGCAGGAGTCGTAGAATCAAGTAGATGTGACTGGATACTGAAGTGAGTCCAAGCCAGGTGTGGTGGTGCACCTCTGCAGTCCCAGCTACTCAGGAGGCTGAGGCAAGGAGGATCACTGGAGACCAGCCTGGGCAACATAGCAAGACTCTGTCTCTAATAAATACATAAATTAAATCAAATGTTGAAATGAATCCAAACCTCACGCTCTGTTGGACTTCAAATAAACATCTGCCCTTACTACCACACAATATATCCATCTAACAAATTGCACTTGTACCCATTACATGTATACAAATAATCAATAAATGGAGTTTCTCCTACAGAGTAAACCCAGACAGTTTCCCCAGTACCCAGAGAGGAAGGGATCCAGCAGCAGCATGCCCCACGAGTCTCCAAAGGAGTGGTAAGAACCACTTAGAGCAAAGAAGAGCAAACTCCACCGACCTGGGCTGGGACTGGCTGGCTCTCTCCTGCACCACCACAGTCCACCACAGCCTCCAGACACAGTGGGAAGGTGAGTGAGGGCAACTCAGGAGTTCTGTGCTCCTGCCATAAAGCTACAGGGTCCCAGCCTTGCAGGACCCTAGCCCCTGATGGGAAGCTGTCTTCCTGACAACCGTGCTCTGTCGCAGAGTGGTGGCAGGAAAAAGCCTTGGGCAGTGTCAGCTACCATTTCCAAGGAACTCAATGCTTTGCAGGGTGGAGCAGCTGCTTTCCAGCCTGCTTGGGAGGGAGGGAGCCCCAAGGCCAAACTCTGTGGCTGTAGACAGTTCCTGGTTGGGCAAGTGGCCTGAGAATACCTGAGGCCTTGAGGCTGGCTAGACCTTGATTCAGAGTCGAGCGTGATGCACTGCCACAGCACCATCTCACTGCCCTTGTGAACTCTTCTGGGCCTGCTCTGCACAACAGCATTATCCCAGTGGGCTGGGACTTCCTCCCAATCATTGGGAGCAGCTTAGAGTGCGCACTTGCAGGGTGCTCCATCTCCTTTTGCCTGCACTAACCCAGAAGGCTCAAAACAGAGAACTTGGGAAATCCCTGGAGCACAGCCCTTGGCGCAGGCTGGCTAAGTACATTCTTGGAGCAACACTTGCCAGGAGAAACCCTACAGCCACCAATGCATTTGGCTTTCTCCCACAACCACCACCTGCTGGCTGGAGGTCAACAGTACTGCCAACCACATCAGATACAATACCTCAGCTTTAGGGAAGGCCTGATCCCAAACGCCAGCTAACAACACTTTCCAGGGCACTCTGGCCACTCAGGACACCGTAAGCCAATGCAGGAACACAGCACAGGACTGTCACTGCTAGCAATTGAGAAACTCACCACATCAAGGCTATATATATAAAATCAAGGGACCCCTACAGTGTCTACATCAGCCCCCTGCCAACTTCAAACAAGAAGAAATCAACTGCCCAACTGAGGAGGAACCAGAAAAATAATTCTGACAATATGAAAAACAGAGTTCTCTAACACCCCCAAAAGACCAAGCCAACTCTTCAGCAGCCAACTCTTCAGCAGCAAACTCTAACGAAACTTAAATTTTTGAAATTTCAGACATAGAATCAAAAGGTTGATTAAAAACTAATCAATGAACTTCAAAAAAATGTAAAACCCACATAAAGAAAATTTTTTTAAACCCCAACTATTCAGGACATGAAAGAAAGATTCTCCAAAGAGATAGACACCTTAAAATCAATCCAAGCTGAAATTTTGGAAATTAAAGAAGCATTTTGGGAAGTACAAAATGCAGTAGAAAGCTTTAACAGTAGATTAGAACAAGCAGAAGAAATGACCTCAGAACCTGAAGACAAGGTTTTTGAATAAACCCAATCAGACAACAATAAAGAAAAAAGAATCAAGAGAATGAAACAAAGTCTCTAAGAAATGTGTGATTATGTAAAACATCTAAACCTAAAAATCATAGGTGTTTCTGAGGAAGAGGAGAAAGCAACAGGTTTTGTAAAAACCTATTTGAGAGAATAATGGAGCAAAACTTCCCTGGCCTTGCCAGAGATCTAAACATCCAGATACAAGAAGCCCAAAGAACCTCCAGAATATTCATTGCAAAAAGGTCATCCCCAAGACATATAATAATCCAGCTATGCAAAGTTAATGGGAATGAAAGAATTTTAAGAGAAGTGAGACAAAAGCATCAAATAACTTACAAAGATAAACCTATCAGACTAACAGCAGATTTCTCAGAAGAAACCCTATAAGCCAGAAGGATTTTAGCCAACAGAATAAATGTCAGACAAGGATTTTGTATCCTGCAAAACTGTTTCATAAATGAAGGAGAAATGAAGTCCTTCACTGACAAGTAAATGCTGATCGGGTCTGGTCACTACAAAAAATACTCAAAGGAGTTCTAAATACTGAAACAAAAGTTAAAATACACCAGTAGAAAAACACTAGAAATCGTAAAGTTCTCAGGTCTATGGAACACCAACATAATACAGAAAATAAATAAACAAAGCAACCAGATAACAACCCATATGATATGACTAGAATAGTACCTTACATATTATTATTAACTATGAACTTAAATGGTCTCAATGCCCCACTAAAAAGATATAGATTGGCAGAATGAATTTAAACAAATAAACAAAAAAACACACACACAACCCAAATACCTGCTGTCTTCAAGAGACCCACTTAACTCACAAAGACTCCTATAGACTCAAGGTAAAGGGGTAGGGGAAAATATTCCACACAAATGGAAACCAAAAATGAGCAGGAATAGCCACTTTCATCTCGGATAAAACAGACTTCAAATTGATAACAGTAACAAAATACGGGGCTACCCCTTTGAGTCCTTTCCCACTGTGAGCACTTCTCTGTCCTCTCAATAAATCTTTTTCATTTAAAAAAAAAAAAAAAAAAAAAAAAAGCAGGGCTCGGTGGCTCAGCCTGTAATCCTGTGCCTTTGGGAGGCTGAAGTGAGTGGATTGCCTGAGCCCACGG